GCACCAATGGCAGGACAAATCACGTTGCAGCAACAGTGCTCCCTGAAACAGCCTGTGCAAGTCTCAGCTTGGCCTTCTACCCTAATCTCAGCTGGCTGCCAAGTAATCCCTTTTCCTCCCCAGAGCTAATCTGTTGTGCTTTGTCCTCTTCTGACTTCATGTGGCTCCAAGCTCAGGATTCTGTGACCTTTCCTCAGTCCTCACTGTGACCTATCAGAGAAACAGGGGAACAAGCAAGAGCTTGGGAGTGAAGCAGACCTGCTTGGACATCCCGGCTCCCTGACATTTACTGACTGGAGGATATCGGACAAGTTTTCTCATGCCTGTGAGACTCTGTGCTTAACTGTGAACTGAAGGAGACCGTGCCATGTGCTGGGAATGGTGTGACCAGCACGGACTTCTAGTGCTTTGAACAGCCGCATGAGTGTTTTTCCCATAAAGTACCGAACTGCTACGTGCACATGCTAAGCACCCAGGAAATCACTACTGAAGCTGTCACTTTGCAGGTGTTTGTGACAGGGCCCCGCATGATGGCTGACACTGAGGGAGAGCTGCTGCCCACTGCTCTCCTTCCTATTTGCCCTAGCTTCTCCTGACACATGTTGCTGGCTTGTCTTCTGTACTCCTGCCACTTGTCTCAAAATTTCAGTGTCAGGAGAGGAATTTTTGTTTGTTTGTTTGTTTGTTTGTTTGTTTGTGTTGCCATGAGGGTTTGAAATGTTAGAATGCTGAATTTGTCTTTGTTCTGAATAAACACCTTTACTGTGAAAAGCTTTGTTCCCAGAGGAAGAATACTGGACTAACATCTTATGGTCACACTTTGATTACCGTAATCACCTCTCTAAGTCCGTGTTAAACTGAAGATTACAACAATGTTAATGGCTGTCATTTATTAGGTGCCTGGCGTTGAGCAAGGGCAGTTGCAGGTGTTTCCTCATTTATTTAATCCTCACAGCTCACTTGATGAAGGAAATATTGTGTCTTTTAATTACAGATGAGCACACTAAGGCTTAGATGAATAAAGTGACTTAAGTCACAACCAGAGATCAAACATAGATGAACTCTAAGTATTCACTCTTTCCAGCACAGTGGTTTTCCTACAGTGATAATTATAACTGTTCCTAGTAGAAATTCCACATTTAGAAAATGCATTTTATCTTTGAGGGCCTAGTGTGGTGGCATATAAGACTAAGCCTCCGCCTGCAGCACTGGCATCCCGTTTGGACACCATTGTGAATCCTGGCTCCACTTCCAATGGGGCACTGCCTACTAATGGCCTGAGAAAGTAGCAGAGGTTGGCCCAAATCCTTGGGCCCCTGCACACATGTGGGAGACCTGGAAGAGGCTCTTGGCTTTGGATCAAATCAGATCAGCTCCAGCCATATAGGTCATTTGGAAAGTGAACCAGCAGATAGAAGATTCTCCCTCTCTCTAACTCTGTTTATCCAATAAAAATAAAATAAATCTTTTAAAATGTTTTCATCGGGCCCTGAACGATAGCGTAGTGGTTAAAGTCCTTGCCTTGAACGCGCCAGGATCCTATATGGGTGCCGGTTCTAATCCTGGCGGTCCCACTTCCCATCCAGCTCCCTGCTTGTGGCCTGGGAAAGCAATCAAGGAAGGCCCAAAGCCTTGGGACCCTGGGCCCACAAGGGAGAATTGGAGGAAGCTCCAGGCTCCTGGCTTCGGATTGGCTCAGCTCCAGCCATTGCGGCCGCTTGGGCAGTGAACCATCGGACAGAAGATCTTCATCTCTGTATATCTGCCTTTCCAATAAAAAAGATATATTTTTTTTTCATCGTAAAACAAGTATTACATCATTTAAATTTAGTGTAAATACATATTATCTGCTCATAATTAGTATTTACTTTGATTTTTTTAAAAAGGTATATTTTTATTGCTAAGTCAGATATATAGAGAGGAGGAGAGACAGAGAGGAAGATCTTCCATCTGATGATCCACTCCCCAAGCGGCCACAATGGTTGGAGCTGAACCAATCCAAAATAGGAACCCAGATATTTTTCTTGGTCTCCCACGTGGGTACAGGGTCCCAAGGCTTTGGGCTGTCCTTAACTACTTTTCCAGGCCACAAGCAGGGAGCTGGATGGGAAGTGGGGCCGCCGGGCTTAGAACCAGCGCCCATATGGGATCCCGGCACGTACAAGAAGAGGACTTTAGCCACTAGGCTACCACACCGGGCCCTATTACATTACTCTTTATCAGATGTTAAGAGAGTGAGAGCTTTTTAATATTCATGTCAGATAGGTGTTGCAACCATGCAGATTAGGCTTTCACTTGATACACTGTGTTCTACAGTCTTGGTACCTCTGCTTCCAGACCAACTTCCCACTGATGCATCTTCGAGGCAGCAGCTGATGACTTGTACCTCTGCCTCTGGCGTGGGGACTCGGTAGGAGGTCCAGGCTCCTGGGTTAAACCTGGACTGCCTCTGGTTGTTGTGGGCAGTTGGGAAGTGAACCAGCACGTGGAAGGTCTCCATCTCTGTTTCTGTCTCTTACTCTCTTTCCTTCTTTGTCTTTCTCACTATCTCCACCTTCCAAAGTAGATGAGGATGAATATAAATAAGTATCAAAAAATTAATTTATAGTTATTGAGCAACTGTAATTCAAACAGTAATTCCATGAAACATGAGTATGCCAGACACTGTCTTAGGTGCTAATACGCTAGTGCCTCCACACCTACTATATGAGCATCTTCTGCCTTCCATGAATTATAACATTGGAGCTTTTGAAGAGCACTCAGAGATAGACACTTTGTCCTTATTTCATAGATGAAGAAATCGAAACTCAATAGTTAGTAAGATATAAGAAAATAAGTAGTACAATTGGAGGGAAAAATCAGATGCCTGAGCCTATTTACTGCAAAACCCTATATAATTTTCTTTGGCAGAGAACTACACACACACAGTTTCCATTCTCACAAAGGTGAAGACACTTTCAGGGTACTTTCTAATAGTTTACTTACACACACATTATCAATTTTGTCTGGGGTCAGCATTGAGGCTTAGCAAGTAAAACCACCACCTGCATTGTTGGCATCACTTACAGTTACCAGTTCGTGTCCTGACTACACTCTACTTCTCCAGCTCCTGCAGGTGGCCTGGGAAGAGCGGTGGAGGATGGCCTGGGTGTTTGAGCCTCTGCCACCTATGTGTTAGACTCAGATGAAACTCTTGGCTTCTGGCTTCGTCTTAACATAGCCTGGGTCTGGTGGTTGGTGATCATCTGGGGAGTGAACCAGCGAATGGAGGATCTTTCTGTCTTGCTTGCTCTTTCTGTAACTTGTGAGCCTCAAATAAACAAATCTTTTTAAAATTAAATTTTATCTCATTTAATTCTTACAGTAATCCTGATCAAGTGGTGGTGATGGTGTTATGACATTGATGATATCACAGTAGTGAAGCCTGTATTAGATAAATGCTTAAATGTCTGCAATTCAAGACAAAATTGTATTAGAGGGCAGACACAAGCAAAATTGCCATGGTAAACCAAGGAGAGAAAGGAGAATACAAACTGGGAAGAATTTAGCTCAGACATTAGGAAAGCTATCATTTGACCATGGCATTGCACAATAATTGCTTGTGTGTAGGTCTGTTGTTACCAGTTGACAGAGTGAGATCTAAGAATAATTTGGTTGCATTGTCAGTTTGAGCAGAGATGATAGTTTGTTCTACTCTTACTGTTCATCCAGGATCTTGACTCTTATCTAGAACCGCACTGCCTCGTTGGCTTTGGGGCATCTCTTTGTGAGCAAAGCCAAGTTCCCAATTCTGTTGGACTCCTGAAACAAACCATGTAAGGTTGAAAGGAGAGAAATCACCACAAGTCAAGTCAACTGAAACAGGCATTGCTTAAAGAATCCAAGGATCCTGACTCAGCCAGTGGTCTTTTGTATATGACCTTGAATTGTAGTTTCCTTATCTGTGAAATGATATATGTAGGTCAGAATTTATCAAATGTTTGCAAGGATCTGAATCACGTGGAGGAGTTTCTGTTTCAGTGGATCAGTACTAAAACCCGAGAACATGCATTTAACATGTCCCCCAGTGTTGATGCTTCTAGATCAAGAGCCAGATTTTGAAGACTGCTGGTCCTTTCTCTGAAATTTAGGTCTACCCTCCATCTAAGCATGCCACCTTAGGCAAGACAGTTCACATTGTTCTGCATGTTTCTTCAACAGTAAAATGGGGCTTCTGCCTTCCTTTAGCGTAGGATAAATGAGATAATCTAATTTAATTTAAAAGAAATGCATTTTGGAAGAAGTCACATACAAATTATCATTTGTGCATATCGGTGTGTGAAGATTGTGTTTTGACAGAATCCTGGAGGAAACTAGTCTACCTGTAAACTGAAAGTTAATAGGAAATTCCTTTCTTTTCCTTATTCTATAAAAAAAAAAAAAAAGGAAGCTAGCCTAAGAGAATATGTACCCATGGAGAATGTAGTTAAAATCCAAATGACCATGAGGGGCTGTGTGCTTTTTGGCAGATAAAAGTTTCCCTGTCATCTATTTAATAAATTAACTTTTTTGAAAGAACATAAATGAAAGAGAATAATAACTTCAAGCTCTCAGGGCACCTGAGTCTGTGAGCCCTTCAGGGCCTTGGCACCTACAGAGATGGGGAGGAAAGGACCCTGTCTCTGAGGCTTTGTAAAGTGGCCTTCCTTGAGGCACTAGGAAAGCTCTGGGGGCCTTAGGAGCTCTAGGGCTGAGAAGCCTGGGGCAAGAATCTGTTAGTTCCAATAAAGAGCTAGGGGAAAAAATGGCTGGTAAGTAATTCTGCTATTTCATTTGGTGCAAAAGAGTAGGCAAAACACCAGAATATTCAATGAGCCAAAACACACAATGTGGCCAGGCTGTGAATGCAGCCTGACCCTTTATGCGGAACATTTCTAAGCCTCAATAAAGCACTGGGTGTTGAGGCTAATGTACAATAGCATGCATTTTAAACCATGGTGACCCTTTTGTTTCTCTGATAGGCGAAGATGAAGATGAATTTGAGAATTTCATGCTGCCTCTCACAGTCTCTTTTGAAACGGTATTACAGATATTCAACAACAACTTTAAACAGGAGGAAGTGAAGGTGGGTTTGTTTGCAAACATGAGAAAAGACAGTTTTGTTTCAGAAAAGAGTTCTCTGTGTGTCTGCATGTTCTCTCTGCCTCCTTCTGCCTGCATTCCTATTTGCATCTGTCTTTTGAGTTGTACTTTTCATAAAAGTGTTTTTCTATGTTCTTACATGAGTGGACTTTGAGATCAGAGAAAGGTTTTGAACATTTAGTTTGTGATTAGATGGAACAGATATGTCTCTTAGGGCAGTCTTTAATAGAACATCTCTCATGGTTCATGACTGTAAACATCTACCCTGTGCTGTGTTTCACCATACCTATATGGAGGAAGACACACACACACATGCTAAAATACTACATCTCCAAATATTTTTAAACAAGAATTTATATAAATCAAGACTTTATTAAATGGCTGGGCATATATGTATAAATAGAAACTAGTCTTGAAGTATTGCATTCTTAAACTGAACAAAGTGATTAGGATAACTGATAGCTAAATAAGGCTTTTATGTGCCTGTGGGAGCCATATTAGGATTGATTTGACAAGTCAGTTCAGCTGTGGCAACAGTCATAATATCTTAGACAACATTATGTTTTATTAGTAAAATCCTTAAGTGTAGCAAGCTGTTTGTGACAAAACAGCCCCATATTTTAACATGGGGGATGGGCGGCACAAGCTTAGCTAAATGGAAATAATGCCTCCTGAAACTGTAGTGCATCCAGGCTATATTAAATAGACTGGCACTGATTATTATTTTTAAAAGACTAACAAATGCACTCCAGAGGACATAGGCACCTGTGTTGATGATGCTTGAGTCACGTTTTATTAGTAGTTGATCTATGTTGGAAGTATTAATCGTATTTTGCATGACTTTCCTCTCTTTTCCAAAAAAAAAAAAAAATACATATGTATATAGCAAACTTACCATTGATAATTTTTGTGTCTATTACCAAAACAGTATTTAGCCAAATCATATTCCTTTTAATTAAAAATATAGTGTTTTAAGTAAGTATTTTGTTATACTGGCAATGTCAGAGAGTTTTAAAACCCAAACAATCTTGCACATGTTTTTTGTGTGTGTTATCTTGTTGAAATTCTTTACCAGAATTTCCAGTTAGGTTAGAGTTTTTGGATGTCTTCCAAATTAGTTGTTCCTTATCAACTGAATCTATGGAGCTTTAAGATGGCAATGGTGGTCCATTATCAAAAAAGAAGCAGTGAAGTTGAAAAACAACCATCTTTATAAAAATTACATTTGTCTCATTTGAAGATTTCATTATATTGCAAGCCTGTTTTGATGTAATCCCATCTAGTTTGATAGAAACCATCTTCCTAGAGTCATTTTTAATGGAGTTCCAGTGATATATCCCTAAACCAGCAAGTTCTTAACGACCCTGGAAAGTGACTGCTTGATTACACTTTAACGGTATTTGCAAATAAAATCACAAGTAATTAAGGGGAAATCTCCAGGCTTTTGAGCAAGTTTGATGCATGATAACTGCCTGATTCAGCTTCATCTAGAGTAATGCTGTGTAGGCAACAGCTACTGAGATCAATAGCAACGTAATGATAGTGGCAGAATTAAGTGAGTAACCTGAGAACTGTGCCTCAGAATGCATGCAGCTGCCACGAACCAAGGCCACACAGTGCACTCCGTGCTTCCGTCCTAAATGTTCATCAAAAGACGCCCTGCAGGAAAATGGAGTTAGATGCTCTTTATTGCTGATCGTGTCTCTTGCCACATTTATCAGGGAAATTGGATTAGCAGTTGGCAGCTGCAGGTAGACAAGATTCTGCAGTGATTAAATATGCAGCTTGGCTGCATTTGTTGTGACAGACCTTTAGTAAATTCTACTGTAAGCACCATCTGTCTAATTTGTATAAAGAAAACTTGGTGCTTTAAGCTACCGATAAAGAACTAGATCTGTTGCTCTATCATAAACAAAACTTTTGCACTAAATGCTTTTAAATGTAATTTATTAGGTTAAGGCTATTTTTCTATCATGATGAATAAATAATACATGCAAAAGTGCTTTCAGGTACTTCATTTTCCAAGTACCAGAGATAAAAACAGTTCTGTTTTGTTCTTCAATAAAGTATTTAGTATTCCAATCCACAGGAGGTGATGCTGTTAAAATATCTCTATGAAAATGCCGCAGGACTGCCAAATTCATTTAATTTGCAGCCCATACCAGGATTTTCCGCTCTGTATTTGTAGATATTTTTCAAATGTAGATTTCAAGATGAACTTAAACGATAAGGACCTATGTTGCCAAATTGAAATATAGTTGTGAGGAGAGAAAAGGCTGCAAAACTCTTAAATTTATAGCTTTGTTTTCTTACTTAGTTCTAATAAAATTGAAAAGAACATTGAATTTTTGTCCTGGGTTTTTCTCTCTGAGTAAAGGGGAAAAGAAAGAAAATGCTGTGACAAATCCCAGCTCTAGAGTATGATTTCAAAGTGTGTGTTTTCCTCCTATAATTTTATCCATTGTAAAATATAGTCCACTGCTCCCCTGACCCATGCATCATTTTTGATTTAGCCATGACGTCAAAGGTTTTAAGGAAAATGAATGAAAACTTCTCCGAGGCAGAGGAGCAGTTAAGTAGGAACCTGCTATCTTTAGTCCCTTCGTAAAAACTCCTCGATGTTAAATTATTTAAAATCCTTGATTTTCAGCATGCGCACATTAAAAGTTTTCGCACTAAGTGCCAAATGTTGCAAACAGCACTTTAACAGAATGATTTTGCTTTGATCCCTGTAGCAGTTCCTGAATAATTTATCACAGGTTATTGCCTTAATTCTGGAGAGGGATAGAGCAATAAAGGCAGATGAAAACACTCCAGTTGAAACACCTTGGGGCCTGCTCATTCCTCTGACACGGCTCTTTTGTTGGAACTATTTAGAGGTTATTAAGATGTGTCTCCAGAATTAAGAGTATGCTGTAAGGATGAAGACAGCCATCTTAATTCTAAAGACAAAGCACAATGACCCTTCACCTTCTTTTTCTTTGTTGTTATTATATAGTAGAATTATGAGGATAATATTATAGCTGCCCCCAGTAGTGCCACTACAGTAAAGGGTCTGTCAGACTTTCCATTAGAAACCCTGTTTTGGGGGTCAGGGTGGAAGGAGCCACGTTTCAGCTGTTTCTCAGCCCATCCGTCTCACAATTGGCACGCAGACAACAGTTCACCACGCAGAGGGCTGAAGCACTCATCAGTTTCTCCTTGAACTATCAAAAAGAGGAATCCACATAGATCCCCAGACCTACCCTACGCAGCACAATTGCCTCACTCAAATTATTTTCAGATCAATCTAGGGTTAGCCAATCCTAGGAGAAAGGCAACTTTAAAAATAGACCTCTTTGTGCTATTCTAAATGAGGTGGTACTCTATGGCTGCTCCTCCCCTAAATTTCAGTCAGATCACCTCTTCCTCTCACGTTGTTTAGCAACCCAGTTGAGCTTCTAGTTAGCAGTTTTCATGTCTCATGCCAGAGCTGGGTAGATTGTAACTATGGAGGAAATACTGTTAATATGTTTCTGTCTCTGCAGATCTGGACTCTCTTCTGCCTTGAGATCAAAGATAATTTTTGAGTATAAGAGGTCTGTGTCTTATTCACATATCCCTGCCCAGAGGAACTTATTTAAAGCACAAATTGAGTAATTATGTGTTTCCTCTGCTTTGTACTATTTTCTAAAATATGAGTTTGATAAGATACAATTTTGTAGCCACATTTTACTGCAATCAAAAGAATTATATATTTGAGTCAATTAAAGCATTTCTGTTGCCTTGGCATCTTTTAAGCCAAGAAAATTTACGATCACCTAAAAATTACCCTATTTGTATAATGGAACACAATAAGTAATTTAATGAAGCCTTTATACTAGGCACAAGGAAAGTAAAAACCCGTGAGTCCGGATGACTAGTGCAGTGTTGCATGATGTGGATCTTACATGCGTGTAGGAACCAAAGAGTATTTGAAGATTAGTCTTTTACCTGTGAGTGAACATAAATTAAAAATAGAACTAAAAGACTGTAATAATACAAAGATTGCAAAGTCAACAGTGAGCATTGTTTGAGGAAAGCTTCTTAGAAGATCACATTTTGTCCAAGAGACTATAAAGAAGGTGGATAGCTGAGAGAAGAACAGTTCCAGGTGGCAAAAAGAAAAATAGAAGAAAAAAATGGTCTGGAGTTTTTGTTGTTATTGCGACTATTCCTGTTGTTGCTTTAATAGGAGATCACATGAAGTAAATACATTGATGCCAGCCAATTACAGAAAAATGAGGACTCATAGGATTATGAGAGAAAAAGTGGATTATTTTAAAGACACACAAACAGAAATTCAAAACGCTCTGACCCAGAAATCCAGGAAACCATCCCTCTTATAAACTGTTAGACCACATAAACTGAATGTTCTTGCAAACAACACCCAGTTAAATCATATCAGCTTTTAGGAAGAGTGGAGTGGAGGAGAAATTTCAGATACTTTCTGACAGTGAAACTCTTATTTCAGTTAAACTATTATTTCCTACTTTGCAATCAATATTTGTTGCTTGCTCCTTAATAGTAATTTAAACTCCTATCTAAGAAAAGGCTCTCATTAATGAATCCAAATAGAAAGAAACAGAAAACCCAAGGAAAAGGAATTTAGAGTCCACTTTCTCCCAGAATACTTTCGCTGAAACAGTATCTTCAGAAATCACTTACAGTGTGATCCACCCACCTTGCTCTGCTCTTATGTTTATTTGTGCTTTTGTTCTGACATCCTAGCATCTGATCCTGAGTTTTCTTTTCTCTTTCCAAGCATTATACTAAGGACAGCTTAATTAAGAGTCCAGAATTCAAGTCAGATCTCTTTTATTCAAGTCCAGGGTCTGTTTGTTTTCCTCTAAAAGTAAATATTTATGGAACACTTACAGTCTATTAGGCTCTCGCTGGGCATTTTTACGTGAGTTTCTTAAATTATTCATCACGATACTGCTATCAAAGAGGCATTATTAACCCCTTTCGTAGATGAGAAAACTGAGAAAGACAAATTGCCTTGCTTTAAGTATTAAAGTTAAATAAAACTAGAATTCAAATTCAAGCCTTAAAACTTGAATATAAAATTCTTTTTCTTACAGCTTTTTCTTGCTTGGGGAATATGGCTGTCATTCTGAGATAGAATAGTAGCAGTAGGTCACCTAGCCAGTTTTATCCTGAGTTATTAAAGACATTCATTAGAAATCTTTAAATGCCGGTGTGTTTCCAAGGTAAACACTGCCGAAGATTACTTTCGTACAAGCTGGTATTGTTTAAGATTTGCTCCTATTAAGTACTGTGCAGACCCTGTGCCTGTGGGTTTTGTGAAATTGTCATTCCTGCTTTATTATTATTTTAATTTCTAATTTAGCATTATTCAGAAGCAAGGTTTATTAATTTAAATGTTCCTATGTTACTGGTATTAATACTTAGCTCAATTTATAAGAAGCAAAGTAGAGCTGATCAGCAGATTGGATGGTCTGTCTGTTTAAAGAGTCTATGGTTTTCTATAGAAAGGGATCTGAGCGAGACATTTTAGCTAATGAATCAAAATCAGATATGTGGTCATTATTGCCTGATTATTACTCCATCTGCTCTGCGCTAACGTGAAAATCAATTACTGTGTCTCTTTCCCACTGACAGCGTATGTTGATCGGGCTGGCAAGAGATCTTCGAGGGATTGCCTTTGCACTGAACACAAAGACCAGCTACACCATGCTGTTTGACTGGATGTATCCTTATTACACTGTGACAATACCAGCTCTGTGCACAGAGGGATGCCAGGCCCCTCACTTTCGTTTAATAGTATGGCACAGTAGGGAAGAGGAAACAAAGCTAAATGAACTAATGTGTAATCAGCTAAAAATTACAGCACAGTGGCAGCAGTGCAGATAACTGAGCACAGCGTTTGGAGACCCAGCTCAGAGGTCACTTTTTTAGTGCCATTAAATATTGACAACTTAAAAATCACTTCCCCAAATAATTGTTTATGCTGGGATTGCAGAGATAATCTGGCTAACATCTTGACTTGGGATCAATGAAAGCTCCCATTTGGCATTTTCGAAGAGATTGGAATCTCTACTTCAGCTCAATTAGCAAGGCTGAGCAGGTCACTTTATCTCTTGGTGGCTTAACTCTTCATGCTGCAGTTCTTCATCATATTAATGGATGTGAAAAGAAAAAGAAACGCTCAGGATCTGTCATTTCATTTAACGTTCACCTTTGCCAAGGCTTAGCACAGACAGGACAGCTTTTGAAATACTCCACAGAAAATGCATCCTCATGTAAAAAGTGTGTGTGTTCTGGTGTTAGCACCAGACTTGCAGCCCCAGCTCCCGGTTTACTGTGTCAACCTGGGTGAGTCATCTCGCCTGTCCAAGGCTTGGTTTTGTCATGTTTAAGAAGAGAGAATCCCACAGCATGATCTGTTATAACAAAAACATGTAATTATTCTGTATAATGTCAGGTACATATTCAGTAGCCATAAATACTGAATATTATTTTTAATAGTGATTTTATGAATATCTTGGATCCTAACAAGAAATGATAATTTATGCAAGTCATATTAAGTATTGTCCAGTGATTTCATGCCTTTTATATGTGAAGCCACTGGAGCCCAAAAGAAACAGTCAGAAAACTAAGTTACTCTTGAAGTCAAACCATGTGTCAGTTGTAGTATTCAAACTCAGACTTCCTTTATAAGTAAGCGAAATTGCAAAAATAAAAACTTGGGGGTTTTTTATGGGTGCCTTGAGGTTTACAAATGTTTAACTTTTTGCCATTTTATTTTCTATATAAATTATTTGCATAATATATACAAAAAGAAGTTTCCTAAAGATAGTCTTTAATTAACATGCCACTGTTGTAGCCGAAAACATAGCTATAGTAGGGTATCTGGTCTATTTTAGGCAGATAAGATAAAGTTCTGATGCTTTAAATTTGATATTGTTGTTAAAAATAAGCTACAGCTCTAGGCTGTCCAGAATATCGTCCTCGTCCACAATTTTAACCACGAGTCAAAATCAGACACTTTCTACCACTTATTACTAGAAATATCTGCCATAATTAATATTGCCCAAAATTTGTAGATGGTGTTTGCTTTCAGTTTAGTCTGTTTTCCGTCTCCTCACTTAGTTCCTTCTTTTTGACACCAATTGGAAGTGAAATTTTTGTCCAGCAGGTGGCAGAAAATAGCAAATGGAAAGTCTTGGGACTTGATGTTTTGTTTTGAACTAGAAACCATTGTCTCTTCCATCGCACCATAGATTTAGGAGTTATTAGGGTCAGGGGTGGAGGGCGAAGTGTCAGTTATGCAGGAAGAAATGTTAGATTGCCAAGTAGGGTGGTTTGGTACTGGCCTTGCTTATAATAATTGAGTTTCAGTAGCAAATCAGCTTCCTTGGGAAAAGGCCAAAGGCTTTTCATAATTGTATTGACAACAAAATGAATATGATAAATGGTGTTCATTCAGTTGAGACAAGATTTATAGTTCTCCTTTGGGCAAGGGATGAAGAGCAAATATTTATAATAATAGTAAAATTTGTTTAAAAGTTACATTATTTGATAATTCAAAAAGCTTTATTAAAATATTTCGAAATACTTTAAGCAGTTTCAGGTGATAAAGTACAGATTCTTGCCAAAGTATTCAAGTAATGCAAAAATGAATAAGTATATGATAAAAAATAACAAGGATATGAAAGTCATTTATTCTTCCTGAAATATTGATATGTCAAACTGTCAGTGATGATTCCCACATTACTGCTGGGAAAAGTTTATTTGCCTTTTGCCCAACATGAGTGTATGTTCTTTAATTTGTTATACAATCCTTAGTATGCAGAAGAAACATCCTATAAGAGCACATGTCATCTTAAAGCCAAAATCATTTTATTTATGGCTATTATTTGATAAAATGATATTTCAGCGGTTAGCGATTTAATTCAAAAACATTTCTATAAACACCGACTGCATTAGCTGCTACACAAACTACATTGCTTATCACTCTGTCCTTCTAAAACAAAATTGCCTGAAACAACATGGCAACCATCTTTACAAATAGTTTCCATGGCTGGAGAATTGGTTTACATCTCTGCCCCAATGGTAGGGATACAACAAGAAGAAAACACCTTACCTTGCAGTGCAGTTAATCACCTTGCTTAAACCTTTCTCTGATCATACTGAGACAAGTATCAAAACTCCAGAGGGAAGGTAGAAAAGGGAAAAAAAGAGAGAGAGAGCAGGGAATGTGTATGACATTATTGTCTCGCGCAGGGTCTTGTTGTCCTCTAATATTCACTGTTGAGCTTACTGTTCTCCAGTCAGGAAATCAGTACTGTTTATAAGTGTGCATAAACATATTATACAAAGACAAGGCAAAACAATGATGTATGTGAAAGAGCGCAAGCTTGTGAATGGGAACATTCTCAGATTCTAGTCCTTGTTATACCACTCAACAACCTGTGGATCTTGGGTAAATTAATATCTCAGAATTTGTTTTCTCTTCTGTATAACAGGACTGTAAATCCTTGTCTGGCAGAGATGTTGCAGGAAATATTGTGATTGTATGATTATTTGAAGGGCTTCTTACAGTGTCTGTCACAATGTAAATACTCCACTGCTGCTCCTTTCCCTAATATGTAGTGACACAAAGGAAACGTACTTAACTCATTCACTCAACAAATTAGACCTCCTAAGCCCAATGTGCTAGATTGCATGAGGGGTATAGATTACAGCAACACAAATCCTACCCAGAGTAAGCTAATAATTTAATGGTCAGTTAAATATCCATATAAATGACTTATAGTAAAAGCTAGAGAGTGTCCTTGCCACAAATAGGAACGTGGTTGCATTTAGCTAAGGATTCGGGAAAGACTGTGGAGCTTACCAAATCAGTAGGGCAAGGACCATGGACAAACAGAAAGATTTCTGTTGGCCTAATCAACAGGTTTAAGAAGAGAATTATGGGGAAGATGTTTCATCATGGATATCGCCTTATCTCATGGTTGACAGTGTATGTTTTCTGGGACCCTTGAATATTACACTAATTCCGAAGATCAATTGATTGACTAACAAAATTAGAACTGTTTCAGAAAAAAAAAAACTAATTAGCAATATCACATTGGACAAACTAAAATAGAAAAAGTAAATCTGAAAAAAAACACTGTTCAACAAATATTTCTGTGAGTGTTTGTCCCATGCGAGGCACAGATAATGCAGGCATGAATAAAATATGTTACTGTGTAGATGCTCACAATCCAATAAATATGCAAAAATAAACATGATGATATGTAAAGATGCATGCAAAGCATCATATGACAATATACAAGGAAGAGTTTGGCTTAAGGAGAGAAGGATTCCCAGAAGAAGTAAAAGTTGAGTTAAACTTTGAAAAACATTTCCCAAGGCTCCCAGCAGCTGCAGTTGCCATCATGAATACAAAGTACAGGTGTTTGTTCGTAGAGTGCCTTTCAAATCAACTCTGAATTGGGAAGCTAATTCTTTTTTGCAACCACGTCCTCAAACTCTTATTTCCTAAGAGTGTTAACAGCAGTTGCTGCCTGTTAGTATACATGATGCCTTTCTTCTCTACTGCAAAAATCCCAAAAGGAAAGAATTCTGCTTTTGCCCATTACCGTTTTCTTGGAGTCCAGCACATAGGAACTAACAAAGGATGAATGGGAAGAGTAAAGCCTGATACTTGCCACTTTTTGTATTCGGCATTTCAGAAGGCAGTATCTTCTCATTAATGCTTTTGATTTTTCATGCATCTGATACAGAAATCAAGAATTTGTTGAAAAAGAATATATAAACACAATTAGATCTGTTCCTCTTCTACCTGTGGGCTCCCACTCCCTCTTAGCTGTATCTGTGTAGTCTGCACAAGGCCACTGGAAAATTAAACTCCTAGTGTGGGTTCAGATTCTTAGCCTGTAATCGGAGCCTGGCACTCTCATTCTGCAGCCCTTTTAACCTCGCTGCTTAGTAGACCTCCACTCTGCTTCCCAATAATCACTCATTTTCTCTGTGGCAGTCACCTCTGTCAGAAGCATATTAGAATTGTCACGACTCTCATTCCAGACAGAAAAGGGAGCATCCCCTCCTACCCTGGCCTTAGCCCACAGTGAATGAACGCGCTCTGAAAAATATGATGGCCCTAATGCCTTTGGAACGCCATGAGAGGGGCCTGTGTGTCTCTGCCATTCTCAGGTCCCGAGATGGGGCTCTTCTGTTTCCTGATGAATCTTCCTGGTGCTTTTCTAGGTGTGCGCTGAGGGATGTCTCGGTGGAATATTTTCTAACCTAGCTCCTCTGACCATGCTTCAGAAATGTAATACTCTGAGCCTGCCCCATAGGTGTCTGCCACGCTGAGATGACCATCGATTCCCTACCAGTGAAAGCCATGGCTACCTTAACTCTGAATCCTTGGCCCCTAGCTCAGTACATTGCATGTAGTATCTACCATGTGTCAGAGATAACAACTTTCCCTAGACCAGTGATTATCTAACAACAACCAAAACAAAATTAGTAATCCAAGGCACTTACCTTCCTCTTCTTCCTGCTGAAGCCTCACTTCTTATCCCCCTTCCCTACTTGATTTTCCTTTATAGTGTCTTCATCTTTTTCTTATCAGAATTTGTCTTTTTTTTATTTATATCTTAATATTTGATTTATATCTTAAATCAAAGAGAATGAAGTCACCGAAATATCTTTCATCCTCTACCTCACTCCCCAGATGGTCACAATGGCCAGAACTAAGCCAGTCTGAAGCCAGGAGCCAGAAGCTTCTTCTGGGTCTCATGCAAGGACAGGATCCCAAGGCTTTGGGCCATTCAAGATGCTTTCCCAGGCCACAAGCAGGGAGCTGGATGGGAAGTGGAGCAGCCAGGACATGAACCAGCACCCATATGGGATCCCAGCATATGTAACGTAAGGATTTAGCCACTGAGCCAACGATCTGGGCCTTTTGTTGTTTTTTAAAGATTTACTTCTTTTTAGGACCCAAGGTGCTAACCTAGTGGCTAAATTCTCACCTGTATCCATCTTTTATTAGAAAGCCAGGAACTCCAGCTGAATTTTCCACATAGGTGGGCAGGACTCAGGTGTGTGAGACAGCACCTCCTGCCTTCAAGTTCATGCATTAACAAAAAGCTGGATGGGAAGCAGAAGCAGGATCTGATCCCACACATTCCCATATAGAGTATGGACATCCCAAGCAGTATCTTAACCCATTGCAGTGCAACACACTCCTCTCAACGATAGTTCTACTCGAATATGTTACTCTTTGTTTTTAGGTTTGGCAGCTTTACACTAACAGCAAATATAATCCATGTTGAAACTTACTTTGTACCAAGCTTATACATGTAATAATTACCTAGTGCCTGTCCTCAGAAACTTTTCATGGGAGAAATAGGAAGTGCTATGATAATGCACAAGGTTCCATAGCCATCTGTGAGACAGGGAAGAGGAGAATTTCACATGAGGTCAGGGGAGGTTTCCTGGAATAATTCTTCCTGGCACCTGTATTGAAATCTTAGCATCAATAGAAGTTAGCAGGGAGATTGTAGAGAAGCACAAGTCTGTGTCCCTGAGGAATTCACCAATCAACCCTCATACAGAGAGGTGGTCAAGAGTGCTGATTCAACAAAGATACAGAAGAGTTTGATGCCTTTCTGAGAGAATAGGAAAAACATCCCAGGAAAGGTGAAACTTGAGCTAGGTATTGAAAGACAGGAATGTAATAGGCAGCGAAAGCAGTGTATGGAAGAGTGGCGACCCGAGCAGGCAGCAGTAAATTTGTAGGGAATTAAGAATAACTGCCCTACAGTAAGAGATGAGTCTGGAGGTATGGGAGAGCCAGATCGTAAAGGGCTTTCTGTGCCCTTTAAGATATTTATTGTAAACAGCAAGAAATAAAAATTGTGGAGATCATTATCAGCTACAGATGTCTACCAGTAACGCATAGAACAGAAATACCATTAAGTGATTCAGTTTAGTACTTTATACTGAAATAAAAAAAGATAAGTACCTTGGAAAACATCAGAGAGAACTGGGCAATGGTGAGACAGAGGGAGCAGAGTGAGGAAGACTGTGGCGTAGAGTTTTTCTGCTTTGGTTCTGTTCCTTAATTCTGTATTTGTGTATCCATTTGGCATGGAAAAGACCAGTTGCAGGCAAACGGGCCAATGAAACCGAGTCCATTTTCCAGACTTTGATGTCTCATCATAGGCATATACTCCTTAATGTTAATGAGGTTGTTTGAGAACTTCTGCTTGCATGTATGTGAGACTCAACTTTTAGTGCACCTACCTTGAATAGATTAATAGTTACCCAAGCTTTTCTTCAGGCCAATATCCCAGGATGTTCCTAAGAATTACAGTGGAACCAGACAGCTCAGCAATTTAATAGGAAGAAAATGGAATATAAATAATTTTGACTGGAATACTACCCAGCCATTAAAAAGAATGAAATTCTATCATTTGCAACCAAATGGTCCCAACTAGAGATCATTATACTCAGTGAAATAAGTCAATCCCAAAAGGATAAGTATCATATGTTCTCTCTTATATAAAGCAACCTCCTTGCAAAATACAAGATTAATAGCCCTTTCAATGCTGTTTTTGCTAAATCTCATGGGTTTTGATATTTTTGTTTTTGTTTTCATTTCTTCAAAATTGTTCCCCCCCCCCCCGGTTAAATTCTCCACTGACTCGTAGGTCATACAGTAGCATCATTTTCTTCAAGAAGTCTTTTTATTTTCTTTTTCATTCGTTCAGCAACACATTGGTCCTTCAGTAGCATGGTATTTAACTTCATGTCATTGTAAATTTTCTATTTTTCTCTCTATTGTTTTGTTTTATGGCTACTCATATAAGGAGATGTATAGTAATTGTGTAGTAGAGACTATCATGTGCAGATGTGAAGAAACAATGCAATGTGCATCTCCACTTCCAAATCAAAGATGGACTCCCACTGAAACATGTCTTGACAATAGGATGCTGGGCTTTCTGCCATTGTGCATGCCTACAATGTCAGGATATGCTTAAATAGCAGAATGATGGACTTATGACTATTTATCAAGGACTATACTATTGTAAGAATATGTGGGAAATCAGTTGAGGGTGGGATTTAGGGAGTAGGTAAGGGAAACCCCAGAGCCTATGGAATTGTATCATAATTTAAAATATATATAATATATATTAAAATATATGTATGCATATATAATTTTTTAATGTATGTAATTTTGAAACTTTGATATGGATACATGGCTTATTGTTAGTGTTTCCCTTTGATTTTATGTATTTTAAACTTTTCATAGTAAAATACTTCTTCTCAGTGTAGAAGCCAGGGAATCCTAATACTAATCATTCAAATATTCAGTCAGAACAAATGTGGATCCTCCCCCACCCCCCACCCCCGCCGTGTTTCAGCTTTTAAGTAGCACTGATTTTCTCAGGAACCGTATGTCTTTTGACCTTTAAATTCTTTAACAAATTTTATAAAAAGGTATCCAACATACCTCCCCATTCTTCAGAGGGCCATTGAACGGTGGTATGGAGAACCAGCGTGCACAACTCCCATCTTGAAGCTTCTGGCAGAACTGATGCAGAACAGGTAGGGAGTGTGACAAGGATTGAAACACCCAGGAACCAAGGTGGTCAGTGAAAATGATAGAATTAGAGCCTAGAGGTTGAGACCCTTTGAACAAAAGGGTATAGTGGCATATTTAGATGTATGTGGGGATTAAAGAAAAAGAAATTGGGGAGACTACAACCACCACTCCTTAGATTATTCAAAAATCACAAAATGGAGAGAAAAAGCAACTATTTCACTGCTTACATGCAGTTATTATCGAGTTTTAGAGCAGGGAAGAAGTTTGGAAGACTATGAGAGAGGCAATTCATTTCTGAATCTCAGCGATTTATGGGCACATGGCTGTTTGCCTGAGGAGCTCTGGGGTGTCCCTGGCTCTGACTTCTAAATTATTCTGTTTCCTCTTTGCCTAGATGTATGTACTTGGGTGATTTATGCACTCACAATTTTCATTGAAACAGCAACTACAACACTTCTCAGAAATTGCCTAGTTGACCCTATAATTTGCGTGGACCAGCAGAGATTTAAACACTCTGCATCCATATTAGCAAAGATGTGAGTAAGAAAGAAAAACTGCAACAAGCTAATTGTGTTTACCTCTTTAAAATATGTCATTGTGAATATGGCTTAGCACCAAATTACCTGTCACTTAGCCATCTTGTCTCATCAGTTGCTCTGTAAACTGCGGGTCGGAAAGGAGATACTCAAACGGGGGAGGAGTAACAGTTGCCGCTCTAATTTTATCTTGGGTCACAGCAGTAATTTAAAATTTACCTCTAAAGCAAGAGGTAGAAAAAGACCTGGAAAATAAATGTGAGTATTATTCCTTTCAAAGATGTTCATTTAAGAAAAAGAAAAATCTCATTGCTGCCTGAGATATTAAGAGGAGAATGGCTTTCTGTTTTCTGTTAGAAATTTAAGGGCTTTTTCTATTGAATTCTAATGTTTTGGCCACATAATTGATTTTATATATTACTGATGTAACATTTAATACTAAAGCGAAAATCATTGCATTGAATATTACGAAGTATTTTATATCTGCCCTAGGCAGATATTTCCTATCTAGAATAATTGTCTTAAGAATTATCTAGTGAAAATGTATTATCTCAGGAAATTTGTCATCTTGTCTATGTTTTTCTAGAATCTAATGTGAATTATGAATATGGAATTGTATGCCAACAAGCAAATGTTTGTAATAATGTTACCTCTAAGTTATAATTGCACTGAACAGCAAAGCATTTTGAAAAAGCATGGAAAAGCAATAATTCACTCAATTCCTGACAAAAAGAATTCTAGCAGTGTGTTTTCTTTTTAGCTTCATTTTTGTTTATTTGTTTGTTTGTTTACTAATCCTTGAAACGTTATGTCTGTTTTTTAAGTAACATCATTTTATCAGGAAAGCACGTGATTGCCTTTACCTGTTCATTCTGTTCCTCAACTTATCAAAACCCAGGAAGGAGAATTGTTCTCCAAGACTTTCTGAGATTTGTTTCTCTCTGCTTGAGCTGTGTGCAGTGGAGGTTTTGCTCTTTAATGTAACTTAATATGTTTGAAATATGCTTGAATTATTCAGTGATTCCTTAAGTATATGTGCAGTATTTAAAATACCTGAATTTCCTATTTGTCATTTTTAGACATCTGCCATTTTTAGAATCTGTTTTTCAAATGTGTATTAGGCACTGTAAGAAACCTCAACTATAAAAACATATCTCTGTCAGGTATCTATATAAACATACAAATACACATCTGGGAGTTTTATCGTTAGAATTATTATCACTGTTATCATCCAGCCACTGCTTTGCGTGACAGAAGAGGAAAGAGATTTGGGATATATGATGTCAGAATGTTGTTCTGACAGATACAGGAATGCACTCTTTGAATCAACAAACCAATGGGAATGGCTCTTCTTAATTGCCTGGTACCTTTACAATGAGAAGATTAGCATACATATTTTACCAACAGTTGTTGAATGGAATGGCACTTTAAGGGATAATTTCACTGCTGCTGCTTCTAATAAAAGAAAATGCTAGACATTTTGAACCTGTATTTTATTTCTTCATCTGCACATAGTCTAATTTTTTTTACTGTATTTCTTAGATCTCAGCGTTTAAATTTTGATGTATCATCTCCTAATGGGATTCTCCTCTTCAGAGAAGCTAGTAAAATGATTTGCACTTATGGTGAGTATCCTTTTCCATATTTGTCTGTGCAATATAACTTTATCTGTTTGGAGGAAAGAAAAATGTTAGTTATTTTGTTCTTTTGAGCCTGCATATCTATGTGAATTTGGGAAGTGGGTAATAGAGTGCAGAAAGCCAGGTAGCTGTCATGTTGGAGGAGGAAGCATCATGCCTTTGTCTACAAATCATACCTAACCAGCTTGATGAATTTCTTTTGGAAAAATGTGATGTCAGTAAAGAAAGGAAATATACTAGAATATTGAAAGCTCATAGTAAATTTAGAAGTACTGAAAGTTACATTAGGGAGTTTGCTGTCCTGAGTCAAGGAATGCTGAAACCAGTATGCCGCTGAATTTGTGGAAATATACTTGTAAAGCACAGTAAATATTGTATTACAAGGAACTTTTGGGATCTGTATTCCTAGATCTATAACAAAATTTGTCCTGTACAATTATAGTCTCAAAAATCTTAAAATTTCGTTAGCAGTTTATAGGTTAGAACTACAATAAACATAAAACTTTCAAATTCTGATAGCTTCCATCAATGAAATTCTCTACACTCTGCAACTTTTATGTAAATAAATAGGGAATTGGGATAGAATGGATAGGAATCTAACTAGGCACGTACTGATGAGAACTGGGCTCTGAACATGTTCGTTCTCCCCCGTAAGATGTTTCCTGCGCTCTTCTTCCTCCTGTTGCCTTTTTTCTCTCCTTTCTTGCCTGACTGTCCTTATTTTCTCAAGTCAACAGCGAACCCCAGGTATGTTTAGTCCTGAACATTTCCTATGGCTCTCATATTGCTTTTTGTGTATCTAGGAATATATTTATGGAATTTTGTAAAGGTCTTTTGCTTCAAGTGTGTAAGTGTATGTGTGTATGTGTGTGTGTGTGTGTAAGCAAAAAAATCATTGAAAATGCACTTATTTGTTTATTATTTATTTGAAGGGCAAAAAGAAAGCAACAGAGACAAAGATCTTCCATCCGCTTGTTCACTCCCCAAAATGCCCACAACTGAGGCCTGACCAGGCTGAGTCCAGCAGCCTGGAATTCAGTCTGGGTCTCCTTTGTAGGTGTAAGGGACCCAATTCATTGAGTCAAAATCTACTACCCTCCAGGGTGCTTTTTAACAAGGATTAAAAGTGGAACCAGAACTCAAACCCGGATGCTGTCATATGGGATGTAATGTGGACATCCCAAAAATTAGGTTCTTTAACCTGTATGCCCAATGTAAATTTTCACTCCTATTTTCATTTGTACCAGTAACTACATCATCATATTTTACATCTATTTGACAATATATATATATTAAAATGATAAAGAGTAGGAATCCTACGGGTGAAAATTGTGTTCTTTGTAAATATTTCAGATCTGCTTCCCTTTTGATGCATACCTAATTCCTTCTCAGTGTCTTATGATACTAAGATCTATATGGTTAGAACTTCTTTAAAAATAGAGTGTACCCCTTGTCCATACCTTAAAGGATAAACTTAAAGAGCAGAATGATGGACTTAGAACTGTTTATGGGGAGAACCAGTGGGGTGGAGGAGACTTGGGAAGAAACCCTGTGGAACTGAATCATAAAATAATAATAAAAAACCACAATGTTTTATATTAGGAAAATCACCATTTTTGGAGATTAAAATAATTCTCTGATTACTAGTGCTTATCAACTCTTTGACCTTCAATTAGAAGCCTATACTTCTTTGTTCCAGTGTTCTCATGTATAGCATTAGGAATATTTACGGACCTACCTACCTCATTAGGCTTGGGTTGGATGCATAATTGAGTTAATCTGAATAAAAGGTCTGGCCTGGGAGTTAATATGTAATCAGTTTGTATTGAATGTGCCTGATCCTAATCTAAAACCTTTGTTGTACACTGACGAAGCTGGCCTTCTTTGGACAGATGTTCACCAACCCATGCCATTTTTTACCTACTTCTTGGACCACACTATCCTGCTTTCCTCTCCCTGTAGCCAGTTCTGAGTCTTTATTTCCTTACTTTTTTTAAACTGATTTCCTTTAATAACTCCCAGTATGAAACAACATGTATAAGAATCACTTAGCAGGGCCTGGCATGATGGCCTAGCAGCTAAAGTTCTCGCCTTGAACGCACCAGGATCCCATATGGGAGCTGGTTCTAATCCTGGCAGCTCCACTTCCCATCCAACTCCCTGCTTGTGGCCTGGGAAAGCAGTCAAGGATGGCCCAAAACCTAGGGAACCTGCACCCATTTGGGAGACCTGGAAAAAGCTCCTGGCTTTGGATCGGCGCAGCACTGGCCATTGTGGTCACTTGGTGAGTGAATCATCGGATGGAAGATCTTCCTCTCTGTCTCTCCTCCTCTCTGTATATCTGACTTTCCAATAAAAAATAAATAATTCCTTTTTAAAAATCACTTAGCAAACAATTAAGCTTTTAACTATACAAATGCTTGCCTCCAGTTACCAGTCACAATTTTACCTTTGCCATGCCTTTTCAGAGTGTTTCCTTCATCAAAAATCAGATTGTTTCCTTTTTTAAAAAAACAAAGAAGATTTATTTATTTTTTATTGGAAAGGTGGATAGAGAGGAAGATCTTCCATCAATGTTTCACTCCTCAAGCGGTCGCAAAGACTGGAGCTGAACCAATCCAAAGCCAGGAACCAGGAGCTTCTTCCAGGTCTCCCATGCGGGTCCAGGGTCCCAAATTCTTGGGCCGTCCTGAACTGCTTTCCCAGGCCACAAGCAGGGAGCTGGACAGGAAGCAGGGCTGCCGGGATACGAACCTACACCCCTCTGGCATTCCAGCGCATTCAAGGCAAGGACCTTAACCGCTATGCTATCACGCCGGGCCCCAGATTGTTTACTTTAGAGCTTATTCACTGTTGCCATAGAATAAATGAAAATGGTGATCCTGCCTTTTCCCAGCGTTACTTGCTGTCTGAACATTATGTGTGACCAGCAAATCACAGCAAAAGGAATCACAGAATAAGACTGATCTGCTTCCACAGCTGCCCAGCCTCCGGTCAGGTTGTCTGACTGAGACAAAGGCATTGCAAAAAAAATTGTAAAAAAATGAATAAATAAATAATGTGCCGTGTAAGGATAGTATTGGAGGATGAGGAAGACGAGCCAAAAGGAAAAAGAAAGGAGCTAGAGGGGAAAGGAGACAAAACCGTTAAAACATTCTTGAAAAAGGGAAGCCAGCAAGGAGTTTTCTTACCCTCAGACTAACTAAACAGGGCTCCGTTTCTCTGTTTAGATTAATAGTATTTGTATTTTCCATTAAAAAAAATCTTGATTTATGTGACAGTTAACGGGGGGCGGGGTAGGTAGGAAGAGATCTTCCATCCACTGGTTCACTCCCCAAATGGCCTCCAACTACCAATACTGGGCTGGTCTAAAGCTGGGATCCAGAAGCAGCTTCTGGGTCTCCATGTGGGTGCAATAGCCGAAGGCCTTAGGCAATCCTCCACTGCTTTTCCAGGCCATTAACAGGGAGCTGGATCAGAAGTCTAACAGCCAGGACATAAACCAGTGCCCATATGGGATGCCGGTGCTGCAGGCAGAGGATTAGCCTGTTATGCCGCTGTGCTAGCCCCAGTATCTTCCATTTTTAAATCAGCCGTTACTCAAGGTAAGTATTACGATCTGCCACTCACTAGTTGTGTGACCTTGGTTAACTTGCTTAGCCTGTCTTACTTCATTTTTGCAAAGGAGTATTACACCTGCCTCATCGATGATTGTGAGGATACAGCTTAAACAAGTGTAGAAGTCCTTAAACCAGTTAGCTACTATGATTTATAAATCAATCAAATCTCCTAGAAGTTAGGAGTAGGCCAAATATCATATAACTGATGAGTAGTTGAATTGGCATTTGCTTCCAAAGCAGTGTAAGTTAGACAGTAGTTTACCTATTCTCTCTTACCTCCTGGCAAGGGCCACAGGAAGATGGTACCTTGAATGTTTATGGTATCACATTTTTAAAGTATGATAACTTCTATCCCAAAACTTGAGAGAAAACCAAGTTCAATAGAAAAAATGCCCTTTAACTGGGTCACCAGAGATCTTACGCACGGGCTTCACATAGAACAATAGAAAAATGTTTCTCACCCTTCACTGATTCCCATGCAACCCCCATCAGCAAAACTGACTTGTATATTGTCGCCTCTGGAATGTTTTCTGAGCTGCGATATTACCTCTGGAGATTGTAATATACTCTTCGGAGGGAGAGCATGTGGTCGCCAGCCAGGGGACTGGAGGATATGTGACTGGGAGAACATAAAAGAGCCAGGGTTATGTATTTCTGGGGTGATCCAAGCTGAAGGAAGGGGAACCTCATGGAGGAGAGAGGGCAGAAAATCCCAGGATCCCTCTGGCACATCCCTCACCGGGTTCGTCTGCTCACCTTTCTGTGGCAGCACTGGGGAGTCGGTGAGTACGGTGTCCAGCCGGGGAAGCACTCACTCCAAATGTACCACATTCATTAGGCATTTTGTAAAATGCCTCCACCTCCACCTTGCTGCTCCGTGAGACTGGCAGAAAAATAATACTTTTGCTATGCTGTTTTATTTATCTACATTCTGTCATGATATACTTTGATGTAAGTTTTTAATTTCGCTTCAGCTCTCAGCTGCTCTTGCCGTTACAGCTCAGGGTCAGCAATGAGGTTAGCCACAGTAGCACAAAACAATTTCCTGTTTGTACAGCCCAGGTAACATTTGGATGAGGATTAAATTTTACCACATTTTCTACTAGCCCAAGCCTATTATTTCTAATGAGTTTTAAATTGCTTCAAGAACATGTATTTCAAAACTTAGTGCTATGATCCATTCAGCCTGAGCAACTTAATAAAAGAAATTTCTTTCTTAAATTTTGGTTAAAATGCTGCATGCAGTGTAATAAATGTTATTACTTTGGAAACCTACTTCTCAGTTTTAAAAACTGCATGTTTTTTATGCTCAATTTCCATTTGTCTCATCTTTTCTTCCCTTTGCCTGTGGGTGTTGGTATCTTT